TTTGTCGAAAATCGCATCTCCCTTCGATGCCGTTGACAACTATTTCCCATCGTCGGATCTATTCCGGCGACTAAGAATCTTTTTCGGTGTTTTTTCCCCCGTAGAAGTCTTGCGGGGAAACGCCCGACCAGCCGGGCTCGGCTCTCCCATCTCGTCTTCCCGATGAACCTTAGCGCTGATCGAATGCGTCGAGTTTGATCGCTGCTCTGGAATGCTGATATCGTCAAGAGACCAGACTTTTAAATGCGGACGAGCCACCGGTATTTCCCTCGGAGTTAGGACCGCCCAGTGAGCTCAAAATCAGCGTTAACTCTCCATTCGATGTTCCCGAGAAAACGTCTCCGGAGACGGCGGAGTGAGAGCGCGGAATCGCATACGACACCGACTATGACGAGGCTCGCCGTCGAGTCCTCAGATCACATCGCTAAGAGAATGCGTCAAAGCCGTTCTGCGCTTCGGCGATAGAGAGGACTCGACGAGCTGCACTCTCGCCAGGATCTCACAAGTTTCGTCAGCACTTGAAACTGGATGAATACATTGTTGCCGAAGGGGCGAAGACAAAGATGAAAAAAGCGTCTCTTTCCTTTTCTAATCCCACAACTCTTTAACTCATTACAAAGGATTCGCTGTCGGGCGGCTGCTCGCCCGTCTCGTTGTCTGTGTGTCCGACAGCGAGTTTATCACGCGACAGTTGGATGTTTCGGGACATCTTCTACGGTTGTCGTTTCCCAGGGATTGTGATCGCTAAAAGCAATTCGAGATTTCGAACAAGAAACGTGCGCCAACAAATCCTGATACGTTTCCTCAAGATTTGACAGATTGCAGTCCGGATTTTATTGTTGGGATGTGTGATGATGTGTTATCAGGCACGCTGCACGGCAGTCTTGAATCCTCTGCGTTCTTCCAGATTATTCGATTGTCCGCTCGCGGAACCTACATAAGTCTACCGGGCCTTTGTCGTGCGCTGGCAAAGACTCGTTGATTCCCCATTGCGATTCTGGAGTTGTTTTTTTTCGAGCGAACTTCAATGTAATTTGCGTCGATTCATCAGCCGGATTGACGGGCAAACCGACGGATCGGCGAATGAATGACCAGGCGAGCGGGCGGATATTAGCCAAGGATTACGATACTCCGATCCTCCGAAGACCAAAGCAGTAGTGCGGCCGATCGCGGCGGCGGTGTGTTGTGGCGTTGGCGGTAGTAGTGGCGACGGCGGCGGCGGCGGCACTAGTAGTAGTGACTTCGTGTGTGTAAGCAGCAGAATGAGCGTATCTTCGGGGTCAGGTCGTGTTGACCTGAGGGCTGGGTGCGTCCTCTGAGGCCAAGCACTGAAGCGTTCGACCAGTCAGAATGGGCAGGCCCGAAGAATCGGGCAAAATCCACTTCGAATGCATCGGTTCGAAAGGGCGTCGATTATTGACAGCAATTCAATTCGCCATCTTCTTAATGACCGAAGCGATATTGCCGCCAAAACCGTTTTTTTCCCTCCAGTCGCTCGCTGCCTCCCTCCCTCCGTCCGTCTATGCGGAGCGCTTTTCTGACTGTACCTTCTTCGGCGGATATTTTCGCCGATCTCATGAACATTCTTCGACCGCAACACGCACGCATTCTCGGCATTTTGTTGGATTCGAACACGAGCTGCACGTGGTCCACTAGGAGGACGGAGAAAAACTAAAAGCTGATCGGATGCACAACCGAGGAATAGAACTGGGAGGGCAAGATCGCTGGGGCGGCCACTGCTTGAGCGACGGACTCGATGGGAGAAGAACGAAGGCTAAACATGATTGAGCGCGCGCACAGAAGTGGAAGAAGTATGTCAGAGAGAATGGAAGCTGCATTCTTTCAATTTGGCCCTCTGACAGTTGTGCTGGTGAAGGCATGCTTCCAGCATCGTCGCCTTACGAAAAAAAAACGCCGTCCTGCTAAGAAGACATGCGTTGCCGCGCAGGGCAACGAGAGGCTGCTGCCACCGTCGTCGTCGGTCGCCGCTGCTGTTCGAAAAGCGGGAAAGGCTTAAGGCCGCCGAACAAGTCAACCAGTGATGCCAACTATAAGCAATCGAGCTCGTATGAGTCCGAGCGAGCGAGCTTGGATGCATGCATGCGGGTATGGACGAGGCGAAGCTCGCCACCTCCTTCAAAAATTAATAAAACGCTCCTCGTGCAGTTGACAACCTCGTCGTTGGCGTTTTTTTTTTTCATTTTCGTCCTCCTCCTCTCACCCACTCCGATCTCAGCAGCGAACCCGAGCACCACGCTAAGCCGAGAGACCCTTGTCCACATTGGCCCGAGGCGTTTCTTCAACATTCATCCATTCAGCCATTTACTTTCGATGCCAACGACACCCTGCCCGACGGGTAGAGCAGCTCCAAGCCGACCTATGGAGTGGACACTGAGAACTCGCGATTGAACGGAACGCAAAACACGGAAGTCGGTATCCTCGAAAATCTTCCGTCGTCGTATGATCTTCGAGAGTATCCGTCCTCCACAGATAGATCTCTGGCGTCATAGCGACTAATGAATGAAGACAGTCGTCTGTTCGATTCTCGCGACGGCGGCGTTCGCTTATCAGGGCGCCCTTTTGTACTCGATGCGCGACGGATGAGATATCGAGTCTGTCGCTGGAAGGAAAGAACAGAGGAGAAAGAACAGCCAGTGCAAAGAACAACGACGATTCCAATATTAATTTCGCCTCGAGTATCGGGTTACCGCCGATACAGAAAGATGTGATAGACGCCGACCCAGCAGCGCCTCGGTGTTGAAAGCCATCAAGAGAACATAATATTTTCTTGCTTGTCGGTTAGAACAACTGTTGTTTGATACGCAATCGGAAATATCTCAAGATACTCCGGGGAGAGAGTAAAAAGGGGTTCCATCGTCACACATCCATCAATACAATCAGTCATTAATTTTTCAATGCTTCGGTGAATGTGACAGTCGCCGAGGTGGGGTCGATAAAGTTTTAATTCCCTAAGACGATGCGCGAGCTACTTCATATTTTGAGCGAACAGAGGCGCACACACATACAGTTGGACGAAGTCGTATACAAAAACAACATAAGCAGCGCTGTCCCCGCGCTGCCCGCTATTCTCCCCCGCTCATTCTCGCCCCCATGGCTCGATCGCTTGCATTACGACCCCGAGCCGCGCCTGTTTCGAATCCCTCAGAAACGAACGGTTCATGTGCATCTTATTTATCGCTTGGCACCCCCAGCTGATGATGACGACGACGACGACAACGACGAGAGATCCCATTTGGAACGGTGCGCCAGCAAGTTACCTTGCATCTAACTCTTGCATCACCAAACATTCGTCTCACTCGTCAGTCGGCGGGCTCGAGTTCACTTTCACTCGTAGCTTTCTCTTGGTGAGCTGTCGCTATGCAGTGAGCGATTCTATCGCTGGGAATTTCCTTTCGACCAAGTCGAAAATCCCCTCTCGCGAACTTACGATCATCTGATGATCCAAAGGAAATTCGCACTCATCTCGAGAGACGTCCGCGGTGATTTTTCTGAGCAACGACCTAAATAGAATCTTGCTTCGCCCGAAACGGCATAAATTGAAGTGGAGATGACGGAAGCTTCCAGCAAGTTCATTCTCTGGGTAGGCTCGTCGCAGAAAACATTCAATCTCGTCGTCGCGGAATTCCGCATTCCGAAGTCTCATCCTATTGATGGCTCCGAACGATCGCAATCCCCCCTACTCCGGCCGACCCCCGATCTCTTCTTACAGCTGAATGTGTTTCGTTCTCCAAAATTCGATCCGACGACGACGAGATTCCCATGGCTCGCGATGTTCGTTGTCGGAACGTGCCTAATGCTCGCATTGATCAAAGCGGATCGAAAATTTAAAATTACATTATTCCACATACCTAGCGCCTGGTCTGTCGTAGGATCCCATCACAACGCTTAGCAACGGAGCGGTCTCGATCGTCCGAATGTGAAACGCTTCTCGAGACCTAAACTCCCTCGAGAAGTCGGTGGAAAATCTCCGAATCGATTCGGAGGTTTTCGTCATACGCTCGCAGGAGCGAATTGTTCGAGTCGGGCCGTGGTCAATAGAATTATTCGCCGACGACTCGTATCGATATTGGCGCGCGACGTCGACCTGTCAACGGACGACCACTTGTTGCTGGGCCCCGGAAGGCCCCGCGGAGGGCGGAGCCGATGACGAGATCGAACTTCGATTGGCTATCCGAAGCCCTATGGGAAAGAGGCTGCGCTGCGTACGATATAGGGCCCTCACTTCGTTCGTTGCTCCATCCCTTCGTGGGTTGGTTGATGGTTCGCTGCGCTGGCTGCTCGGCCGAACCCGAAGAGGGACAAGACGAAGAAGCGGTGGGAAGCCTTGCTTTGACTTTTTGCCGTTATACACCGCTGGTCACTGGTTGCAATCAGCGAGCGGGCAGTAAATGCCCGTTCGCTACCTCCCCTCCCCTCCTACCCCTCGTCCCCTCTCCTCCTCCTCCTCCGCCGCCGCCACCGCCCCAAGTTGAGAGAATACCGCTGACGCCGCCGAGTCCTGTGGGGACTCCCATCACCAGCATCTCAACCATCACCAGGGGATTTAGGGATCGAAGGGTTTGCATGAGGGAAGTTTAAGCGAGTGCTCCAGTGGCTCGTTTATTCGTTTGGGTGGTCGGTTGCCGCCGCAGTCGGAGCCGCTGTCCTACGAGGAACAGCAAACAAAAACAACAAGCCTTTATCTCAGCCAGCAGCCGTTGCCTGCCTATATCTCTCTAGAATAACAAAGGCGCCCAGGCGTCCTTTAACAATCAAATTTGGCGAAGATCGCATTCATCTCTCTTCACGGATGAGGAAAAAATACGATCGTGCCACCGCCCGAGCTTCCTCTGGGGAGCCGAATGACGAGGCATCTCCGTAGAAACGCATGAACTCCGATCTTGGACGAAAACACCGCGATCCTATCGCGATTGCGAGACGATTCCCCCTGTTTCCATTGGAAGACTTGACTAAGCTCATTTCTTTTCTCCGAATTCCAGCGTACCCCGGAAGCCCAAAGAGAGTCCCTACGCCTTCGCGAGTTCTCAGCTGCGATGGACGGATCTCGCCCGGCAACTCCGCCGACCCCGAAAGAGAGTCAGGACGTGGCCCAGCTCCTCGACGAACTTCGCCAGGTCAAAGCCACAGTCGATGCGTTACAGGAGTCGAGCGCCAAGCAAATCGCACAGCTTGAAAAGCTGGTCAAGGAGAAGAGCCGGACCATTCAGCAGCTCGAAGAGCAACTCGAACGTCAGAAAGATTACGATGACCTCAAGACACAGTTGAGGAAGCTGCACAATGGGAGTCAACACCACCATCAACTTCATCATCAATTAACCTTAACGCAACAACACCTGCAACAGCAGCAACAGCAACAACAACAGCAGCAGCATATTCATCTCGTCGCAAACGAAATGAACCAGTTAGCTATACTCAATCAAAATCAAGCTCCGGTTAAACGAGAGGACGCCGGTGGCGAGTCGCCGCGTTCGACTGACGGCATCGATGACGCGAAATCCGAAGAGAACGGTCAGTTTTACTTCCTTGATCATGCTGAGCATTGTTCACAAGTCCCCGTCCCGATATCCGAAGACAGTAGGGCTGTTGGCCATAAATCTGAATCGAAGTACATATATGCGAGAGGGACTCCAACTCGAAACCCTATGAACCCTATTTATTAAGTCCATCACTAATTATTCTTGTTTTTCTCACTCCAACAGAAAGAGGACGCTTGCAACACAACGTTGAGGCGTTTGGGTCGCTCTTGGGGGAGGAGATTGTTTCGACATTCTCTCGCATGCTCAAAAGAGAAGCATCTGAACCTGGAGTTCAATGTGTGGGTCAAGCCAGTCCTCCCGCGACTCCTAAATCACACGACGACATGTCGTCAGGAACGGAAGGTTCAGGCTCTCGCTTCGGCGAAGAGCACGCTGCCAGCCTTGAGCGCCTCCAGGAGTGTCTGCGCCAGAACGTCGACAAGTATCAGTCCGAAGCGCTCAACACGGGCCAGATTGCCAGATGCGTCAGAGAGCTTCTCAGTGCACACAACATTGGGCAGAGGCTTTTTGCCAAGTACGTTCTGGGCTTGTCGCAGGGCACGGTGAGCGAACTGCTCTCCAAGCCCAAGCCATGGGACAAGTTAACCGAGAAAGGGCGCGATTCCTATAGAAAAATGCACGCCTGGGCCACCGACGAGAACTGCATCATGATTTTGAAGGCACTTGTACCACGCAAGGGTTCAAAGGAGACGCCATCGACCCCGGTCGGCGCTTTCCGCCATGAAGACCTTGCCGAAGATCGGATTGTCCAGATTCTCTCCGAGGCCCAGCAAGCGATGATTACGCCGATGACGCCGAAGAAGGAAGAGCCCGATTCCGACACAGCCGATAGTCCTCAGAATCTCAGTAAGAAGAAAGAAGACAAGGATCAGGCAGGAATCGATCTTCCACACGAGTTCCTCGCTCGAATCTACCAGGAGGAACTCGCCAAGCTGATGGGCCAGCGAGTCGAAGAGAGTTTCCGCAATCCCGCCTCGGCGTATGATCGTTCTCAGGACGACATCCGACAGGCGCTCTCGATTTATCATCAAGAGATTTCGAGATTGTCGCAATTGGCCCTGACGCCCGGACACGACCTGGCTCGATTCAGCGCAGCTTTACCCGGTGCCTTGTTCAACGGCATCAATCTGCAGGCGATGGCTGATCCGCGAGGACGCGAAGCCCTTGAGCGTCAGCAGAGCGCCTTCTCGATGGTTCAGGCTGCCCAGCAGGTCCAGCAGCAGCAACAACAACAACATCACCAACAGCAGCAGCAACAACAACACCAGCAGCAGCAACATCAACAGCAAGCCAGAAAATATCCGGCGCAAAGCCCGCCCGCTGTTCTGAACGTGACCAACGATAGCGAGGAAAGCAATCCCCTGCAACGGATGCAGAGCATCACGAATTCGCTCCTGACGCAATCTGCCATGCCGAGTCTGGCGACGCCGAGTCCACGCCAGGCGAAGGCCGTGTTGCCCCCGATCACGCAGCAACAGTTCGACAAGTACAACAATCTGAACACCGAAGATATCGTCAAGAAGGTCAAAGAGCAGCTTTCTCAATACAGCATTTCGCAGCGGCTCTTTGGCGAAAGTGTATTGGGACTCTCCCAGGGCTCCGTTTCGGACCTGCTCGCGAGGCCGAAGCCGTGGCACATGCTCACTCAGAAGGGCCGAGAGCCTTTCATCCGCATGAAGATCTTCCTCGAGGACGAACAGGCCGTTCACAAACTGGTGGCCTCTCAGTATAAGATCGCTCCGGAAAAGTTGATGCGGACCGCCGGCTTCACGGCGGCCGCCATGAACAAAGTTACGCCTGTTCGACACCACCAGTTCGATGCGACGAAAAACTCGTCGATCGAATCACTCCAAGCCGCCATGAAAGAACAAGTTCATCTAAATCTCACCCCACCCGCAGCCCTCGCAGCTCTCCAGCGACAGTTACCTCCTCTGGCGACACATTCACCTTCGCCGACGCCGATCGCAGCGATTACGGCGGCAAACGCGCCTTCACCGATTAGTAGCAGCAACAACAACTCCAGCAGTAATCCCAACTCGAACAATACCAGTAGTAATTCGAACAATTTGACGAACAGCAGCAGCAGCAACAACAACAATAACAGTAACCTCACCAACAACAACAACAATAACAACAACAACAATAACACGAATAGCCCAAAAAACCCAGCGGCAATCAGCAACAGTAGATCGCCGTACATGCAGCCTTCCGTTTACGAGATGGCTGCTTTGACAACCGATCTGGACACGCAGGTCATCACGGCCCGTATCAAGGAAACACTCATGGCGCACAACATTGGCCAAAAGGTAAGCCCTCATTGCGCATCCTCTCAGTCAGTCCTACGGGGGAAATCTCGATAAGATCCTCTAGTCTCGCCGTTTCTTGACGCAGAATTCAAGCCATTTCCTAAGTACCTAAATGGAATACGGTGAAAGCTGTCTAGGGGTCCATCTTCGCAAGGAAACCACCCGACTTATCGGCGTTCGTTTTCCTCCGGACCTTTGGCCATGCGAGCCTATGGTAATCCGGACGCCTGATAGCTCCACCCGACCGAGGTCCATTTTTCGCTGGAACCGCGAGCGGACCCATGAACCAGTTTCCGCCTGTACATTGCATCAATCTGCCGAAATTCGGAGATGGCTCTTTTTTTTGATGGCCCAAGAAGGTCCCTTGGAATCCCCCCGATACGGTGGCACTTTGTCCCAAACTCCGGATGCATAAATTTCAATTTCGCAATTTCTCTTTTCAGATCTTTGGAGAAGCGGTGCTGGGCCTATCGCAGGGGTCAGTGAGCGAACTGCTGTCCAAACCAAAGCCGTGGCACATGCTGTCGATTAAGGGCCGGGAGCCCTTCATTCGCATGCAGTTGTGGTTGAGCGACCCGCACAATGTGGACAAACTTCAGGCGCTGAAAAACGAGCGTCGTGAGGATCTCAGACTATTTGCAGCTAACAAACGGCGTCGAGGACTCGAAGTCGACTTCCCTCGGATGGAACTGGCTGGTTTTCCGTTCCCTTCGCCGAACTCTCCATTCCCGGCGGCGAAGAAGCCGCGAGTTCTGTTCTCCGACGAACAGAAGGAAGCTCTCCGACTCGCCTTCTCAATGGACCCCTATCCGAATCAAGCGACGATCGAGTTTCTCGCCAACGAGCTCAATCTGTCCGTGCGTACGATCACCAATTGGTTCCACAACCACCGCATGCGGCTGAAGCAGCACTGCTCGCCAAACCCCGAGGACCCTCGCCCTCCAGAGCTCAACCCTGCAATGCGCGACCAAGGAAACAACTTTGACCCAGTCGCCTTCAGATCGGCCCTCGTTCAGCGTCTACGCGACATCCAGAACGGGGATCGTTCGGCGTCGCGAAATTCGACGCCACCCGCGATCTCCTACAACAACAGCTATTCGCCTTCGTCGACGAACGACGAAGGAACCCTAGACCTCTCGATGGCGACCGGTCACGGCAAGAGTGACAACGAGGACAGCCAAGAGCCGACCGCGACCGAAGGTAGCGATCGGGATTCGCTCGACGGAGCCACCCAGACCAACAACAAATCTTCATCGTCTCGAAGGAAGCCAGCAATGCCAAAGTGGATCGATCCTGGTCTCAACGACTGCGAGCACGACGAACCCGAACAGGAGCTCATCATCAATGGCGTTTGCAGATTGAACAGCTCTGATTTACGTGCAAAGACTGACTGTGATGAGTCGATAGTCCGTATCGAACCGGTCGCAGCCCCTGACGACCTCAGCAAAAAACGGCAAGAAAGCAACAATAACACCGACGATATTCACGGGCTCACCGGTGCAGCGTCAGACGATGAATTTTGAATTTGAGGCGATCTGAAGAATCTCGGAAAATTTCGAAAGGGAAAAAATGATCGAAGCAGCGATTATCATAACCGATCGGGCTTCTGGGAGCCACCGTGACTCCTTCGTTCCCCGACGACATCTCCAGTACACACTCACATACACATCACCTGAACCACAGTTCACCAAGCGAATCTTGCGAGTGAGCACCGACGTTGAAGTCTCTCTTCAAAATCTGAACGCACACATCTTCGAATCTAGTGGAATGCTGGACGAACTGGACGATTTGAAAGGAAAGCAGAATGGAAAAAGGAAGAAACGAGTCTTGAGCTACCCGTGAAACAACATGAGTGACTGAGCGTGTGAAAACCATGCGGACAGCCGAGGAGGTGTGACTACTCGTAGCGAACGGCGCGGGAGGCTCTACTACACCGAAGATTACTGCAAACTCTCTTGCTCCTTCCCCAGCTCCCCCTTGCCGATGTCAGCTCTGATCCTTCTGAGATGCCGGGTGCCAAAAAAAAACAACAGATAGCAAAGCCAGCCTTTATACGTCCTCACCCTCACCGCGTTTGTCCATCGATCCGCCTGTTTTCTGCCGGGAGATGGAAAACCTGGGGACTACCCGAAACAAATCACAGTTTCCCCGTACAGCACTCAATCATCATCCAGCAGCAGCAGCGCCCTGTGTCGACGGATTTCGCCAACGACATTGACAGCCGCCTTATCCTCCTCATCGTGCGCATCGCCATCACTGTAAATAGATCACGCATCCTTTCTCCGCAACAAGGATAGAAGCGAGTTTATAGCAGAGCGAGCAAGAAACGAAGACAACCCACGTCGGCGTCGTCGATTTTGTGAGCTTGTATGCAAATGTTACTTTATGCTCCGTGATGCACTCGGTTTCTCCGGGATTCAAAGGCCTCCGCCCTGAACCAAATCTGTATTGTCGTCTGTTGCAACGACTCTCCACTGCTTTTCTAGGACTTTCTTATAGCCTGAGGAAATATGATCGTCATCGGTTCGCTTGAGAATTCATATTCTTGCGACTAATCGATTGATTGATTGATTGATTGACTGATTGGTTTACCACATCATTCATCAAACCCATGCGTAGCAGCGTCTGCCACAGTGCAAACGGGCAAGCGAGCCAGCCAGCCAGCCAAAGAGGCCTAGCCTTGAAGGGCGGCCTAGTACTTATTACATCGTAAAGATGCATGATTAGTAGTTGATGAGAAACTACTAAATGCTAGTTTTTGCAATATTGGTGGAGCATATACATAGTTACGTATAAATATATATATATAAGTGAAATGGAAGAAATATATATATATATTTATATAATTGTGAATGGGAACTCATAGCGAAGAATCGTCACAGAGGAACAAGATCGTAGTTTAGACAAAAATCCCCAGCTTGCCTAAGTCTTTCCCCACGTAGAATTGTCCCAGACAGTCTCCCTGTTGATACTTAGCATCGAAAAGTCGGCCTTTGAGCGGATCGATGCTTGATAGACCACATTCATTTATATCCATTCTCTCATTCATTCATTCATTCATTCAAGCACTCACTCATTCGTGCTGATGACGATGATGATGATGATATTGACGCTTACATTGACTTTCTTCGCTTCTTTCCCCTCGGAAAACGAGAGTCAGCTCCATGGACTGGCTCATCTGCTACAAGGGGTGTGCCGCTTGAGCGACAAATCTTCGAACCAGTCGGACACTTCGGGCAGAGCAACCACCATTCCCGTAATCACTCATAAGATGAGTGTTCTCAGTTTTGTAAATAGTCCTTGCATCTCCAATGAGATTTGACTGACAGCGATCAGCAGTTCTCCTCTTCGGGTCGCGCGCCTGAATCCTCTCCCCGTGAGCCTGAAGATTGAACTTCATTCTCCGCCTGATGAGCATACGGAATTCCTTGACGGAATTGGTCAGTGAGTGTGTTCGGAAGGAGAGCGAGCCATGGAGAAGCGGAGAACGAGAATCGAGCGGGAAGCTCCCGTTTTCACAGTGAGGTTGCAGCCGACGACGATTCTGCCGCCGCCGTTGCCGCATACAGAGTTTCCAAAACAACAATGTACTTAGAACATGAAGCCATACCGTAGAAGGGTACGCGCGTGAGTTCTCGAGACAAAATTTCAGCTGTCGCCGGGACAAGCTCGAGACGAAAGCCCTTCTTAGCCATTTTTGTAGATCTTCAGTATTAGCGAGAGTAACTTATTCACTTCATATTTGACCGATGCTACTAGCTTGTGGACTAGAGAGTACGAATATCATTGACATAACCTTCTCTAGATACGGGAATAATTATTATCCAACGACGCAGGGATGATGATGGTCATTATCACCGAATATGACTTCGAATAATAATAATTATTAATATACTTCAATACGTGTAGAAACATAGAGCAGCCGCAGAAACTCCTGCGTAATTGATATTGAGTAGGTACGGAATAACGGTCGAACGAGCGGACGGTTGGACGTACGGTCGCGCGAACGAATGGAAGATTGAACGAACTTTGCATTGAATCACGAGGATGATGATAATGACGACGACGAGACGCTATAAATATATATAAATACATACACATATATATATATATATATATCGATGTATGTGTGCGTTTGCGCGCGCGAATGTGTGTGTGTGTCACCATTTACCCCGGTAATATTATTATTATTGAAATATTTGTTATTATGGTCAGTGGTAGTCGATGTAGACGTACAACACGCTGAACCGGAGCAGATCCCCCTCAAAAGACGTGAGGTGGGAACGCCCGACCTCTGATAAGCTGAGATCTGGAGAGCAGCGCTAAAAACCCGGTGACATTCTACGAATAAGTAAACAAACCAATTATTACTGAAGATGTTTTCATGTTTTTTTCTCTTTCCTTTGAATATATCCATTCATCGAAGTACTCATTTATATTCGAAAAATCATTTCAACCAATCCATTCACGTTCACAGGAGGTCGATAATATCGACACCCCATAGACGCGTACTGAATCTACTCAAATAAAACACGAGACTCTTCAAAAAAGACATAAGTACCGTGTCGTGCTTCCGGTAGCTCCTTGGTCCATCGGAGGGAATGGGATCCGCCGCATCTCTCGAGATTGGGGATAGAGTCTTGGGAATAGGGTGAATGGAAAGCCCCCGGCATCGACCAACAGTGCACAACGGAGCCGAAGCAGCACTATTCGCAGGAAAATACATCGGGAACAGATCGAGAACCGGAAAAGAGCTGGACAAGATCCGATGGTCGTCGGCTTAGCACGTAGTGATAGGATCGACGCAGATACCCTGTCTGGTCCCTATCGGGTGGCAAACGCTACGAAAGAATCGGACCTACCCATGTAGCAGTCCAGTACAACTCTCTCGGAGGTTCCGGTAGTGCCCCCGACTTCGTGTTAGACCCGGGGTTCAAGCTTCCGATCACGTCGGGTGGATAGATCTAGGATATAGGGCCAAGGGGACCATGAGACTTTTCTTTCCAGAATTGGGTTGCGACGTCAGTCACCGGCCCAGTACTTGACCGGTGCGGCTCCCTAATGCCATCGGCCCACACCGGGGCTAATCTCTCAGAAGTTCGAGGGCAAGGTTTTGGAATCACCGGTGAAGGTAAAATTTTGTGGAACTCAAGGTTGCGACCGACGCTGTCGAACCAGAATATTTCAGTTTGGACTTTTTCATGAGCTCGATGTACAGAACTTCTCTTCGAGGTTGCTTGTTCCACCATTGGAACAAGAAATGAGTCCACTCAGGTCCATCGCCATCGGTGAGCTTCAGAATCGATCTCGGCACCAGCCTCGCGAGATGCGGCCTTGAGAGGAAATATTTCTGCTCTATTAACGCCTCGATCAGGGTCACCCTCATCGGGTCTCGGAGCTTGAGATCTTCACCGATTCTCAAGAATTCGGGAACGTCGTAGACCGAAATGTGCGTCCGTACTCCGTAACAAACTTCCACAAACTTCTCTACCATCTCTACGCTGCATCTGGTGACGAACTTCGGGATGGCTCCCTCGCAGGATTTGGCCATTACAACGCTAGAGATAAAAAAAATCAGAAGGGGGAAGTTTGGGACGGTAGTCGTGTGGTAGCCGATAAGACCGGATCATATGGTATCAACGATGACACATCGTGCGCTTACCGGTGGCACTTAACTAATTTTCCTTCCGCACAGCGTATGCTCGTCACAAACACTTCATCGATGTTCCGCCGTCGAAATAGACTCATTAGGACTTGCTTCGAATCCCACGGCGAGGCAATGATCAAAGGGTCCGTTGCTGATGCCATAGCAACTATTTGGCCGCAAAACATGACCAAATCCGTTCGATCTTAAATAGATGGCTCACTTTGCGGTGGCTGTCATCACCAGTGCAGTCATGGCTTTCAGCAGCCTCATTGGAGCCAGAGTTCGACTGAGTCGTCCCCAGAGAACGGCGACTAGACCCAAGGGGAAGTCGCCGAGGTCCTGTGACTAAGACCCAACACGGAGAGTGCGCAAATGCGTTTACAATGTCGTGCTTCTCAAGTCAATCTCGGGGTGAGTACCGCAGGGTGCGGAATATTTTCTCACGGGTTATGTCGATTCACCTAGATGCTTCGAGCAACCAAAAGGTGCTGGAGCAAGCAAACTCTGCCGCTAGGTATGTCCGATTCCCTCTCGATAATCAGAACTCCTGGCGAGCAGCGAAGTTCCTTCCCGACCATCCCCCGAGCTAAAGCTTCGGCTCACTCGATACTAGATGCATTGCATATTTTCCATACTTTCACGATCCCCTTGGATGCCATTCCCCCAATCGGCTCCCGCGGTGAACTTCGTTCATCAAGCGAGGGCGAAAACACGGTTGATGTATGGGTTTCGCTTTCCAGCATTGAAGCGTCGCCTGCGGAGATTCTCAAGAAGCTGCACGACACCGCTCCGGATGAGCATGTCCCGCAAAGTAACTTTCGAGAACCCTGCATATTGCGGGGGGCAAGGCTCGAATCTGGCTTTCCCATCGTACGAAGTCAACATACCACAAGAGTATCACCAGCCTGATGGCGAAAACATAGGCTCGGGGTCTACCCAGATCGAGAGCGGAACGAAGATTAAGTCAGCGAGGTTCCGACCTGCGGGCGAGAAGAAGGAGCTTCCCCGTTGAGAATTCCGACGGAGCGTAATGTTACAGCAATGTTAAAATGAATTTCGTTGTTCCAAATCAGTGTGATGTAGTGATTCAACCTCCGTCAAACTTGCTTGCCAGCTTGCGAAAACCATCTGCTGCATATCGTGATCCAAGATTCGTTCTTTCGCGAAGCAAGCGAAAGCTTCCGGGAAGGCCTCGTGAATCCTCGTCGTAGTGGTTCCCTCATCTTCCGCTTGAACCAGGTGTAGAGCTCCGGGGATGTCTCTCATATTTCGTGCTCTCTTTCGCGTCTGATCAGCAACGGGTAGTTTTCCACCACAGCCGAATCCGATTCTTGACTATTCGCACCATCTCATTCAAAAAACCCGATTTCCTGGACGTCCCCCCGGCATCCTCGATGCCGCCGCTCTAGGTGCCTACCGACAGGAATCTACAGGATGAGTAGGAGATGACTGCTGCCATGCTTACCAACGTCATGAAAGCGGACAATATAGTTGACTCACCCAGTTTCGGCGTTTTTGTCGCTCTCTCAATGCACTCTATTGTTCTGATGTCGGGACGCCTCAAATCGACGTGATCCTGAAAGCGTGAGCCATTCACGTTTCACAAGTCGCTTTCCAGCTGTGCGCGTTCTATCAAAACCGAGTGTGTGTCGCGGGGCAGTTGTGATGGGGGCGCGGGTCTATGAGATCAAGCGCATCCAAGCGCTGGCTGAGGAAAGCATTCAGCTTCAGCGGAAGACATTCTCTCGGTGGATTCGAGCAAAACTTCGAAATGTGCGTAAATCCTGAGAGTTTCATCATCGGCACGCAGGGCATTCCGTAAGATACTGAGTCGGAGGAGCAGTCGGATCATTCTCGGTCGGAGCTTCGAGTACCTTCGGAGTGCTGTCAATTGAGTTGCTCGAGGAGAGATGGTTCCAAAAGTCCACGGAATCGAGTCATTCCGGTCATCACGTTTCCCGGGATCTCTTCGGTATGGTCCAGGGGCGCCATTGACTTGGATTCCGTGCTCACCGTGAGCATCAAGAATACTCATCAGCAATTATTATTGATGCATCTACACAATTTCTACCTGTCTGAGGATTGATCTCACTTCGAATTTCGGGATATAGAAAGCCCGGGGCCACATTCAGACGCGTGCCCTCCAACGGAGGGGGTCAGCTTGGGTTTCGGGTGGGATCGGGCATAGAATGATAACGCGTCGCCCGTGGTCTTCACTTCAGCGTGCGGGCCCCTGTGCAAGCCTGAACACAACTAACAATAAGCCTCGACATCTGCAGGAAAAGCTCCCTCCGCGAGGAGATCTCCTCGTAGGACTGACAGACGGTCGTATTCTGATGCAACTATGCGTCGAGCTCTGCGGGGCATCCTTCCGCATTCCGGAAGTGTCGTCTAACAGATATCGATGGATGGAGAATATCAATCAGGTTCTCGCCTTCCTCCAACGACAGGTATTTGGAATGTATCCATGAGGAACAGCTGGAAGCAGCCCTTCCATCGACGATGAGGAGGTACCCACCAACAATCATCTCCATCAATTATTCAGTTCGGTGCGGACCTTTCGGATGTTGGAGCGGGAGACATCGTCGGGAACAAAATCCAGCCCACTCTGCGGGTTCTATGGTGTCTGATTCTGGCGCAGTACGCGTATGCTCCGGATGAATCACCTGAGGCAAGCTCGATCATTCCCCATAGATTAGTTCGATGATTATTGTTCATCCCGTCCTCACATAAAGAAGTGTTCCGTTCTGGATTCTATCATGAGACCGAGACTAGTCTCCACGGGAGTCATATTCCGTACTACAAACATCCCCGGTAGTTCAGATGATTGCATTAAGGATGCATAAGTCAGATACCCGTCATAAGGCTAAACCGAAGTTCTCCCTAGACTCCCCAGGCCCGATCCGAGAAAGAGATCAGATCCGCCGTTCTGAGGTGGTGCCGCGAGGAATGTCGAAAATTCGATGTAGATGTTCAGAATCTCGGAGCGCCCTGGAAAAAGGGATTAGCTTTCGCAGCGCTATTGATGAGTCATCTGGCGAATGATGAACTCCAGTCTCTGCTGCAAAAAATCGATCTGGATAGCTCTGCAGACGTCCTGAATACCGTCTTCCAGCTCGCCGAGGAAAAGTTCGGCACACCGAGGTACGATACCCCCTACCCTGCATGAGTCCGCTGATCCATGATTCGATGTCATACCTCTCTAAAACAAGGCCTCATTTTTCAGACTATTGGATGCCGAAGATTTCGAGCTGTCGAGATTTGATGAGAAATCCATTCTCGCCTACCTGATCTCCTTAAAACAATCGATCGAGGGTCGATCGGCCTCTCGCAACGACTCGTCTCTGGAAATAAGCTCATAATGGAATCCCCGCCTAATAAATTCCTGACTCTGTTCTGATATCTTGCTTAGAAAGTTTATTTTAAGGTTCGAGATCTTATCGGAGCAGAGCTGGTCGGTGCCGAGAACAGCTGAACCTATCAAACGGAGTAGAATGTGGATATCGAGGGGGTTCAGAGGCGCACGCAGTCTCGAAATGACGGAGTTGCTTCAATGAAGATTACTCCAGTGGAGGAGACACTTTTGAGGCAATGGGAGCATGAGGTCTTTGGAGTCGATTAAGGAATACTAACCGACGAATAAACTCGTCTGCCATCTGAGGAAGATGTAGGTGAGATGTTGATGTACCGTAAACGCAGGAACTTTGACGCATCAGGTCTCGTTGTTTCCTTTACCGTGGTATCTCTAGAATATGGACTATATCCGATATAGATTGATTCAAGGAGGGGGGCATATAAGAAATCTTACCTGACTAGACCGGCGACTCCCTCTGAGTTACGACGGGGAGACCCACAGGGCCACAGCCACAATGGTCCAAGATTCGGACAACGATCAGCATCGTTATCCTGAACCAGCTGAGGATTACGAAAAATCGGAGCGCTACTCTCATCCGTATGCCTCCGGACACATGGACTGCGAAAATCAGTTGCTGACGGTTAGACACGAGACACGATGTGGATGGCTGAGATTTCGGAGAGGAATGTCCTTCCGGATGCGGACAGCTCAGCGAATCATGAGGGTTCATCCACCGGATGTGCGAGGAGCTTCCACCCACTCAGATTGAAGACCACTAGGGAAATCAGGAACAGTATCACAGTCTCTTCAAGAAAACGTCGGTGACAGAGCCCCTCTTTTGGATCCTCGGTCGCGTTTTGGGAGGGACCATCGGGGGATACGGAGCACCCATGCTTGAGGCACAGCGACAATCGTTCCGCGTAGATGAGGAACCATGCGAGCGTCCCGATCAATAGGGCTGCTGAGACAACGCCTTCGTCTTCCACGAGGGCAGCTGCGAGGGGAGTCGACGGTCAGAGGTCAGCTGAAGACGTTGTGATTTTCGGAGATTGCGAGAGATATCCCCACAGAGCAGATCAAGAGCTGGTTATGTCAATCTGCCACGGAGCACTGATGTGCCTCCTGCCGGGACGTATAATGTCTCGACATTGATTAAACAGAAACTGCTTCGAGAGGATCGACTCGACTGAATAACCGTTTTATCGAATCACGCGAGCTACTAGGTAGTCTCGCTCGCCGGAACGCGGACAGCTAGACTGACACGAGAAACGGTAACACACCAGCCCCCAGAGTCCAGCCGTATTGAGGATCAGTCGAGTCTTGGCGACATTGTTTGTATGTATGTATATATCGGTCTCTCAACATCAATTGAGGGGAGAGCACAGTACCTACCAACGAGGAAGCACAAACCGCCGAAGGGAAACTTCCAGTCTGTGGGGAACGGATTAACGGCTGCACGTGGATTGTCCAGACTGTCGGAATTCGACATCATATCTGCGGGAAGCTTGAATTCGATTTTACCCTCATCCCGAGTCAAGCAAGATTTGTTATCACAGGGATGTGATCGGGCTCAAAATTTACGGAGATCGTCGTTCTTCGATCGCAAATGAGACCTTGATTCGTACTGACAATGATAGACGCACTGACTGATACAATCGATCCGCGTCGTTCTCGGATATGACAGTTTCTGTGCCCCTCGTGGAGACTCTTTGAACAAGACGGCCCTCGCTGTCGTCAGCATGCATTTTTCAGTTTGGTAACACGCTTTCTCTCCTCGTTCGGTACGACGCAAAGTTCCTATGTGCACCATCGAACTACGAGGAATGCTGCACGGAAAACTCTGCCGGCTACAACTTCTGCTTATCGTGAGGCCTCACCGAAATGCGGAGCTCTCAGGGTCCCCTGGGGGCACACCCGTGGGAGAACCGGGGAATTGGGGACGAGAAACAGGCTCGTATGGATTTAGCTCTCTTGGTTCGCTGAGACTGGCTGGAAAGATTCCAGTCACGAGAAAGCGCCGTCTGGAGCTCTTGTGGACACCGGCGCGACATTCCCTTCTTACGACATAATCAAGACAATAATGGAACAGTTCACCCGTACCACCTCGCCCACATCAGGGAACCCTGCCTAGTAGAAGTCGTGAGGTGTTGCTACATGCGTCGAGTGAACACCTATCCCACGGTTTTCTCCAGACGAAGCACATATATCGTCCGCTCGAGGCTGCTAATGAGTAACGAGACCGAAATGAATGTTTCCAAAGTATTTATAAGAAGGCCGGACTCCGCCGGAGAGAACCCGACTTCTGACCCTAATTGGATCAGGATCAAAAGTTTTCTAGATGTGTTCTCCTTGATTTTCACACATTAATTTGCAGTTTGATCCCAGCCTCTGAGTAAGCACAGAAAAAGACCAACATTTACAGGGAACGCGCAACCCCGAGACCCCGGATGATGATCGGGTATCGAGGCAAGTCCGAAAACTTCAACACCGCCGAAGTAGCGCCCCTCGCTCAATCGAGGAATTGCTTCCCCCGGAGTTCGGCCCTCTCGAATATTGTCCCTTGGCGCTTTCACTCCCATTTTTTTCTTCTCGAGCTTCCGCTGGAGTCGACAGTCTAGTGAAGGAGTCGGTCCAGGCACCCCCAGGGGTCCGCGAAATGAGCTGGGGTCCTCGAAACCCCGTTTAGCCGCTTGCATGGAACCTCGCGGACCCCCTCCCAGGAAGCCCGGAAACCTCCTCCGAGCTGTTCTACGGTTTTTCGTGTGCCCCTCAGTGGAGGGCGGGCCATTTCGTAAGGGTTTCGTTATGCTGTTTGGTCATGGCGTAAACAGAACAATCTCTGCGAGAAATCCACATCGAGATCTCCTTTCATTTAGGCCATCCACTCAGGACTGAGCGACTGAGGAGGTCGGCTGGAACTCCACCAAGGAGGTTTCCCGAGGATTTCTCGAACGATGAGCCCGATGAGTACACATTATGACAGATGAACCACTGGTCTAGTGGACGAAAGGTTTTCGGTCGGTGCCACTTGGGTCGAGCGTGGGACGTGCGGCTTTCCAACCCTGTGTGGTGCCACATTGGAAATTCGTCATTGAAGGAGCTTTGGTTGCGTCGCTGTCTCCGGAATGGATATTGTGATGTCATCGGTCATAATGTCATGATGTTCTCGGAGTCTCAGCAAGGGCTGCACCATCTCTCAATCCCGGAGTGGGAATCGGATGAGGGGAAGACAGGGAAACGCATCGCAGCCTCGGTTCTACCGGATAACATACGGATATTCGAAGATGGTCTGAGCGTTCTCTCTCATAAGGCTCAGCTCTGGTCTCAATCTCAATATCTGAACGAAATTCGAGTTTGAGGTTTCTGAGCGAATATTCCTGTGAAGAGTTTTCATTAATTCATCCTCAAACATGAACAGGTCCACGATCGGTGGGATCGCCGACCATCCCTCAGAGCTGTCGACAACAACCAGCTGGTCGGAGGACGGTGCCCATATGGATGTCATTGCCCATTGCTGATTTCTAGCGACAGATTTTCGAGATCTTCCGAAATCGGCGGCGCGAAGCTTCTGAGACATCCCGAGTCTAGACAATCTTGTCTAGATTCGTAAAACAATCTATCGATTTGCAATCGACGGAGACCCTCCGGGGGAAACGATGGACCCTACGCTTTATTGGGCGACTCGCGATACGTGCTTCTTCGCCCGATGAGGAGAGACCCATTCTCTCCCTGGCGATGAGATTCACCCCATATACAGACCCGACGGCAGAGAGCGTTTCTTCGCCAGTTTCCACTCGACGATTCAACGGCCGCTTCCGCGAGTTTTCGGATCCGATCTATACAAGTAAAGCTCCCCGAATGTTACTGGAGGTATCTTGAGTGGACTGTTCGCTTCGAGTTGCGAGCTCTCCGGTAAACGAAAAACCGAAGCGTACCTCGACTCGGACGCGGTGAGAAGACTGGCGGCAGGTGCAGTACAGGTGACGTGCACCTGAGCTTTTTGGATCTGGAACCGTTGACCTTTATGCTTTTGGTCGGCTGTCCTCTGATTATCGTGCCGGCGGGGCTTACAAAAACATTCTACCGTCCTTGTACCGGCACTGAAGCCTCCGATATAATTGTCGATGACAAAATATCTTCAACGGTTTATGCGTGCATCTCATCGTCAGATCACCAATGCTGCATTCAAGGAGAGTTGAAACATCCGATGGATCAAGCAGCCAGTTGAATAATTTGGAAGTTCTCCATAAGGAGAGTATGAGAATATCCTTGGGAGGAAGGATCACGATTCGTGAAAGAGCGCTGGAGAGCATTGATTCGTCGCTTGAAGTCCAAGGACTTCTGTCGACGGTAGAGGCATCATTCCATTCGAATAACAGGATAGTCCTCGGAGCCCGGTCGTCAGACTGGCTGCTTTCCATGTCGGAGTCGCACCTCATCTCTCGAATATTGGTTATTGATGAAAGCATACGGGGAGCGAAATCATAGGAACCGAGATCTTTTGTCTTTTGTAGTCAATACGGACAGCCAAACCGACAGGCGAAGTCAGAAAGGAATCGCGTAGGCCACAGAAATGCTGAAGAAGGAGGCAGCTTCCGCCTAAAATATCCTTACGAGATCGAAGGAACTCTGAACTCTATGTGTCCGCAATCGCAGCAGACAGTTTCGAAGACGAACACGGAATCAAGCGACACGGAGTCAGTAAGGTTTGAATGATTCCACGTGGCGTAGAAAGCTTCGAACGCGTGACTGGCTATAGAAAAAAGGTTGCGTCAAATTATGGCGTCGCATGACGGCCTGCGGCGACGTCGTTGTTCGGGTGGTTGCTCCGTTCGTTAGTTCGTTTGTTCGTTGGCTCTCTCGCTGGTACGTCAATGCAGGTATCACAGTGCCCACCTGATCCAGAGCTGTTGGATTGAACAAAACTAAGCCTGCCAGCCTATCTCTCTCTATCTCTACCCGGTTCCAACTCCTTCCATATCTCTCTTCCTGACTTCTCGCGCTTTGTCTATGATGACAAATCACGGTCGGCTAGTTCGTTCT